ATTACAGACAAAAAAAAAAAAAAGGAAAATATTTGATCCACACATATGCATGTATGTTTTACCTTTAGGGACTGCTGCAACTGGTTTTCTCTGGTCACCTTGATGCAAAGACAATGTTGATGTTAAGTTGACGTTCACTTCTGATATTACTGCAGCTAATATTGATGGGGCTCATTGAAATGAGCAGATTGAATATTTACAGATGGATGAATAAGAAAATATTTTAACCCACATTTTGTGCTAATGACCTGGTTGTATTAGTGATAAGTGAGGTTTTTGGTGTTTATGATTAGTTAAAGCACATGTTTTGCAATACCTCTTGCGGGGGCAACGGCAACTGTTGCGGCTCCAGTTGGACGAAGAGGTTTGGCTGAAAGAAGAAAGACAACATGAAGACCCCATCTGCTATTTTAGTCAAATGGCCCCTCAAAATTAAAACATTATGTTAAATTTCAATATAATGTACCAGGAGCTTTGACTGCCACAGGACGTCTAGGGGGCGCGACACTAGCCGCAGATCTGAACCTCTGAGGCGGCTCTATATCTACCTTGCGCATTTTCTTCTGTAGAAAATTGAGGATGTTTTTCCATTAAATACATTCAAAATAATCCAAAGATGAAAATTTGTGATGAAAGCATGAGGAAGGGAAATCTGAACGGACTAAAAGCACACCTGCGCAGGCTGCTGTTGCTCTCCATCTGTGCTGCTGGTGTGAGCCCGTTTCCCAGACATAACAGGAAGACGGGAAGTTGTATTCTGCAAAAGAACCAAGAAAATAACATGAACAGACTTTCAAAAAGGTACACATGACAGCAGAGCTATTTCAGAGATGTGCAATACAAAACAAAGCAGCTGTAGTCTAAAAATAATGCATTCAGCACTCAAAACTAAATTGCTGATGAGATGCATAATATTTTGTACTCTACTGAACAGTAATGACAAGTAGCTTGGGCTAAATATGCATGCTTGCAAGTGGATATTAACTTGCATGTTAACTCCCATGCATTTCCAAATGTTTATAATCTTACCTCTTTGTTCATGGATCTTGTTCAATTCAAGTCAAGCCCAAAAAAAAAAACACATAACATTTAAAAAAAAAGTTAGTTAGCGTTATTTAGTCAAATAACGTTGTCAATCAAGTGCACATTTAAGTTAATAAACTCCAAATTACCGATAAACACATTTAACGTGTATTAATGAAAACAAACCGTTGCTGGAAAACATCGCAGCTTAGCCGACGTCATTCACGCAAAATAAACGTATAAAATTCATACAATAAGCTTCATCTTCAAATAAAAATGTAAAGCATAAATTATCATACTCACGGTTGATGTTTATAAGAAAAAACAAAACAACAAACCTTTTATACACGGGACTGAGACAAGCAAAAAACACAGCACGGCGCAATAATCTCTCGTAGCCGTTTGGATTTCAAAATTCGAAATTCTGGGTGTAGTCGCTTTACCCGCTGATCTCTCATTGGTCGGATCGGAACCAATCAAGACAAAGCATTCGATAACCCCGCCCCAAATGGGCGGAGACACAACCCTTCGGCATCAACTCATAAACGCAGAGAAGCGTATACCTATGTTTTGTTTTCCATAACGGGCTTTATTAAAGTGGGTTTTTAATTTATTTATCAAACTTGCAAACGCAGAGAAGCGTATACCTATGTTTTGTTTTCCATAACGGGCTTTATTAAAGTGGGTTTTTAATTTATTTATCAAACTTGCAAAAAGACAGCAATACAAATAAATGCAAAGCAATTTTTAATAAGAACGATTAAAAAATACATTATATAAAGAATAAGTACTTACATAAGTAAAAGAACAGGTTGTAACACAAATATAAAGCTGTAAAATAAAGACAACTATTACAGTACAAGCGTTTAAAAGGCACTCATATGATTTCATTTGGATTTCCATATAAAGTTGATGGAGGTGTTCACATTTCTTATTTCCCAATTATATATATTAAGATGCATAATATGCACATACATCGTGATCCTTATAAAAGTTAAATTAGAAGCACACAAACCCATAATTTAAATAAACATTTTTTTTTCCCCGGAAAATATATGACCTCACATGGCGGAAGTGATTTTGGCGGTTGGCTTGCTGTCATTTTGACCTCATTCACAGGAAGTGTAGTCGAGCGGAGTCAGGCAGCCGTTCGCGAGAGAAAAAAAATAGAAAAAAATTGAGGGAAAAAAATCGGTGAATCCAAGGGGTTCGGGCGGATTTGGACGAAGTTTCCGAACTGTCCCGGCCCGGAGGAGCTCTGGGGGTTGAAAGGGAATCGCCATCACCGGTAATTAACACAGAGTTATCAGTCAATTGTGAATTATTTCTCCAAATTTGAGCAACTCACGCGGGCGCTTCTCCCCCTGTCTCGCCAGCCGGAAGTCTGCATGAAGCTGCGTCTCTCTCGCATTGGCGTCGACGGCTTTTTTTTTCTCTTTTCGGTTTTTTTTTATCCTCGAGTTTTTTTTTTCTATTTTATTTTCTCAGTATATACCTCATTGTCTTTGTCATGTTCTAGCCTTGTTATATTTATCTTTATGCCCTTAAATTTTTGCCCATGGTATCAAAATGATATAGAATGTCGATATCGTATCGAATTTATAAATTCCCCTGGCGATAGTGCCACCACAAATAGTGTGTAAGTCTGTGGGAAACACTGATGCATGTTAAAGATTTTATTGTGAACAATTAATCCTCGCATGTGTTTCATTTTTCCTTTTTTTTTTTTTGGACTTTGTAGTGTTTAATCAAAATGTCAAACCGGACCTTCAAGTGAAAATGACAGACTTTTCTCTGGTGACATTCGCAGGACTTCTCCAATCATGTAGTCTGCTTAAACCCCGCCCCTGCACACTCACGTGCACGCCTCCAATTTTGAGTGCATCACCCACCTCTCAAAATCCAATCAACAAACCGATGCATAGAACTAAGTCCTGCTCTACATTCAACATCTGTGAGGCGTATTTGGAGTTTCTGTGTGAGTATGAATTAAACACGTTACATGAGTGCACTCACTAATGCTCACACCACCCTATTTTGGGTAAAAATAGGAAAAATAATACTTCTCTCTAAAGAAATTTAAAGTAAACATAGGCAAATCCATAAGTTTTTCTCCAGTGTTTTACCACCTCATGTTGTTTCTATTGATGTAAACATGTACCTCATTGTCTTTGTCATGTTCTAGTCTTGTTATATTTATCTTTCAATAAAAATCTAAAATTTTATGCCCTTAAATTTTTGCCCATTGTATCAAAATGGTATAGAATATCTATATCGTATCGAAGTTATAAATTCCCCTGGGGATAGTGCCACCACAAATAGTGTGTAAGTCTGTGGGAAACACTGATGCATGTTATAGATTTTATTGTGAACAATTAATCCTTGCATGTGTTTCATTTTTCCTTTTTTTTTTTTTTGACTTTGTAGTGTTTAATCAAAATGTCAAACCGGACCTTCAAGTGAAAATGACAGACTTTTCTCTGGTGACATTCGCAGGACTTCTCCAATCATGTAGTCTGCTTAAACCCCGCCCCTGCACACTCACGTGCACGCCTCCAATTTTGAGTGCATCACCCACCTCTCAAAATCCAATCAACAAACCGATGCATAGAACTAAGTCCTGCTCTACATTCAGATCAGGGTTACTATAGTTAACTAAAACTAATGGGAAATTTACACTTCAAAGGTAACACAGAAGCACTTCTGACGTGGCATTTGAGTGTCTTTACACACTGTTTAATGCTGCTCAGAAGAGGCATAAAAGCATTTACACAGCAATTACAAGTGTAAACTTTAATACTAAGGGCTTAGGTGGAGAAGGGCTGCCATAATTTAATCTAGCTTTTATATGACATTGCATCTTTAAACTGGATTTTAAGCAGGCACAGAGCAGCCTTAACTCAGCTGTGTAAAGACATCCTAAAATCATGAAAAAATTCTTGAAATTAAATAAAAGCCAACTGGAATAAAATATATATATATTTTTAAAAAGTTTCTGAGGTTAACATTTCTCTTTTTGGTTTAGTTGAAGTGCTAAAATAACTAAAACTAATAAATAAAAATTAATAAATAATATACACATTTAAAATCACCAAAAATGAATAAAATATACAAAAATGCTAAAATTTTAACAAAAATTAAAGTGAAAACAGGAAATCTAAAAATAAAATCTAATTCAAAATATGAGCAAAAACTATATCAGTCTTACTAAAATAACACTTATTCCAATGTACGTTACAATACAGAAGAAAAGATTTTACTTCTGTTTAGGGTTGCAAAGGGGTGGAAAATTTTCGGTAAATTTCCAGAAACGTTCCAAAAATTCCTGGAACATGCCAAAGAATCCTGGAATGTTTCCGAAATTTACTGGAAATGTTCCACCTTTTTGCAACCCTACTTCTGTTTCATTGCAACTTTAAGAGGGGTTTTGGTTGGTCATTCTGGTGGACTAGTTGGCAGACAAGTTAAACCAGCCGAGCACCATCTTGGCGCTGCTTTTGCAAGGTTCTGTGAAAACGTTTCAGCTTTTATTTTCCTTTTTCGCCCTGAAGAAGATATCACAGGTTCATCAAGTTCGTCGAAATTATCCATCCTCCATAACTTTTAGTCAGCTTTGACGAAACTTCTCTCAGCTAGCACGTCTTTTTAAAGTGAAAGTAGCCTTGTCACATGACCTGAATACAGCACGCTGATTCGCTAAAATGGACTTATCGGCTTCTGTTCAAAAACAACAAGGGCGCTTGTCGGCTTCTGCAGTAAAACATGAACTCTCGATGCCTTGAAAGTAGACAAAACCGGCTTTTTTGACAAAACGTGTTTAGGGTTCAGATCGCGCTATATGTGGAGAATAATGCAGGCAATCAGCTCATTTTTTTTTAAAGTGACGTTTATCGGTTTTTGCAAATGAACTCTTCATATACAGTATACACACACGTATAGCTGCTGAAATAAAATGTTAATGTAATGAGGTTATCAGAATGGGTCAAACTGATGTGTTTGTCCTCTGGCTCTCAGCGGGGTTAGTGATCACGACTCCTCAGGGGGCGCTGGTCACTCCTGCCTCCTCTCAGTCTTTTGTTTCTGGACCGCCCACAACAACCATGATTGTGTCCGCTTTGCACCCAACAAACACAGGTAAAGATTTTTACTCTATCTTGTACACACAGGTACAAGACCATTCAAGAGTTTGTAAGATAAGGTTTTTGAAAGAAGTCTCTTCTGCTCACCAATTCTGCATTTATTTGATCAAAAATACAGTAAAAAGAATAAAAATGTTTATGTTACACGTTGTTTTCTATGTGAATATATTTTAAAATGTAATTTATTCCTGTGATCAAAGCTGAATTTTCAGCATCATTACTCCAGTCTTCAGTATCACGTGATCCTTCAGAAATCATTCTAATATGATGATTTGCTGCTCAAGAAATATTTATTATTATTGTCAATGTTGAAAACAGTTGTGCTGCTTCATATTTTTGTGGAAACCTTGATACATTTTTCATGATTTCTTTGATGAATAGAAAGTTAAAAAACAGCATTTATTTGACATAGTAATCTTTTGTAACGTTATAAATGTCTTTACTGTGCTTTTTGATCAATTTATTGTGTCCTTGCTGAATAAAAGTGTAACATCCACTACAGCCAAAAAATATGCTTTGTTACAAGTTCACAGTTTTCTTGCACACAATTATACACAGTAAATAGTAACAGTTATGTTCGCATTTCATAGTCACAAATGATTCATGATGTTCGTAATCATTATATTTAGAACATGTGCTTGATTGAGCATTTTCTTCTTATTTAATAACAGATAATATGCCACACATTGCATGATACTGATTATTCTCCTAATTGTTTTCATGTCACTTTTACTGTTTAAAGCACCAGACACTCACACATATGTTTGCTTACTCAGTCAGTCTGACAGCCAAATAAGCTGTAGGAAGTGAAAGTGAGAGTGACTGGGAGGTAGTGAGAAGGGATGGATGATGGATGGATAGAGAGAGGGACAGCGAGCTCTATATGTTGAGTATGTTCTGCTCTTTTCTGTCAGAGGCTGTCCGGCCCCCTTCCCTCTATCTCCACAGCCACTGTAAGTATAATAGCACATGTACATCTCTACCAGAAACCTGCGGTCAATCACACTCACATCACTAAAGCACTTATGCAGTCAAATAACACTTTATTCACTGCACAGATTAGAAATTTGGTGGCTGTTGACTTGAAATAGCAGTAACACAACCTGCCAGCCACCACCTTTTGCTTTGATTAAATTTTGGATATTTTTGTAAATTCAAATTTCAAACGACATTATTTCATGTAATAGACTCATTTGACTTTATAATTGGGTCAGACATATAAGATTATTGGTTTGGGAAGCCACAATGGTTTGCCGAGGTAGATCTTTAAAGGTGCTGTATGTATTTATTTATTTATTGACTGTACTAAAGCATAAAAATATCTTAATATGTTTGCATATATTTAGGAAACACGTCAAGATCACATACTATTTTCTTTGAAAAACAATGCTACAGCCAGTTATTCAATGTTGAAATGTGTGTTCCCTGTTGGAATGACTGGTTTTGTTTTGGTCTGTGTGATTCGGCCAACTTAAAGGGGTCATATGATGCGATTTAAATTATTCCTTTCTCTTTGGAGTGTTACAAGCTCTTGGTGCATAAAGAAGATCTGTAAAGTTGCAAAGACTAAAGTCTCAAATCCAAAGAGATATTCTTTATAAAAGTTAAGAGTCAACCACGCCTACCTAAAACGGCTCGTTCTAACACGCCCCCACATGTCTACGTCACGACCGACCTCCGCTCACTCTAGCCGCCGCCGCGTGTGACGCTGTGTTTCGTTGTGAAAGTGAAACTACTTTGTTGGCCTTCCAAAAGAGGACGATATTCGCTTCGTCATGCCTAGTATTTCCACACCCTGGGTTGCCAGTTGGACGGAAAACACAGCGTATCGCAGCCATGGAAGCCAGCAAACATACTGGATCAGAAATCACAGATTCTACCCGTCCTAAAAAACCTTGTCATCCATCTAAAAATCTCTATGATCAGAGGCATGTTAAAACATGGGTAAATCAACTCATCAATTTACAATGTGAGGGTCGTCGCCATTTATTGTCAGTTGCGCTCATTCCTGTTGCATGTCCTCAATCTGGCAACCTGGTGAGTCTGAGGAGGAAGGGGCAGGGGAAACGAATCGCTCCAATATGTTGAATTTGGACTGCAGTGCCCATTTCAACCACTAGCTGCCAATATTACATACAGCACCTTTAAAATTGGGACATTACAATATTACAAATGCATGATTAGGTTTTAGTGCACATTTATGTTCATTTTATTGAAATTCATATGAAATGTTTACTAAATAATTGAGTTAATCAATATCAGTGTGAAGGATTTAATGTCAGACTTTTAAATTTCAGACATTTCTTTGAAAATAACAGTAAAGACCTTCACTGTCACAAGTTTAAAACTCATTGCCTTTATCCTCAATGCAGAATTGCAGGAAGAAATTATACAGATTGTGTTTTATAATCAATATTACATTTTATTTATTTATTTGCTCCACTGACATAAACAGACAAGAAAGAGGACGGCAGTATTCCACCCGCCGTAGTCATGCCATTCCCCTCAAAGCGGGGCAGAAAGAAGAAGTCCATGATGCCAAGGGCAGGTCCCGTTTCAGCCCACGCACTTGCCACAGGAAGTGATGCGCTGATTCTTGCACACCTGGCCGCTGGGGGACAGGTGAGAAATCATAAATTTACCTTCATCAAAATAAGTTATTGTTTATATTACACCGCCCTGCATCAGATTTGCTAAATGAAATCCAGTACTTGTTTCTTAATAATTTTGGGGTGCTGATTCCAAAATCAGTGCCTGTTTTGCGCGAGCACGTCACATTTTCTCTCAAAATATGATGCATTTCGTAGCATTTTAGCTATTGGCAACCATTTGTAAGGTGAAGAAGTCTTGTATTATCCCTTAATCAGCAGAAAAACTGCCACACAGACATGATTTCCATCTTCCTCTGAGCCAGATTACTTTTTTATGGTTTAAAGTCAGCCCATTTTCACATGTATGAATAATTCTGAAGACATTATTTTATGCCTAACCCTGTTTTCAAGGTTAGAATTATGGCCAGTGACAGAAAAAAATGAAAACATGACCTGGATGTGTTCTGTGGGTGTTTTACTACATCCAAACTGCAGATATTCCGCGTTTAATGCTAAGGATTTTTTCTATTGGCTCAGTTGAGCCAGTGCTTCAAATTTTTACATGCCCTGCCACAAAAAATAAAATAGTAGTTGTTATCTTTGATTCTAATAAATAAGCTTATATGATATCAAAATTTTAAATACCAGTTAAATTTTACAATTCTCGATTCCAATTTCAATACCACAGCAAAAACAACTAGCCTAACAAATATGAAGTTCAAACATTATTAAAGACAAGTGTACATTCGGTAAATAGGAACAGATGAACAAATTACAAGCAATAGCACTAATAAATAAACAGAACAAAGATAAAAATTAAACTCTCTTTTTTTCCACTGACAGCAGTTGGTAAATTAGGTGCGGTAAATTTAAGAATCAGTGCATGGATCCAACATAATGATAAACATGCGATTTCTTTCTCAACTCTTCAATTAAAGACATAATTCAACTGAATGTAGTTGTCTTTTGTGTCATCTTGCACTTGAATGCTTTAAAATTGCTTGATTGTTTAAATTGGCAAGGCTTAAAAACATGTGCAAATGATAAATCGTTGTGATGATGCAGCAGTGGCCCGATCGGGCCAGTGACAAATTCGTCAACTGTCCCGAACGTTGTTCAGGCTGGTGCCGGCCCAACAGACAGTCCTTATTGTCAAGCTCTGATATTACAGAATTTGTGAAAAAAAAAAAAAAAATTAAAAAGCTATTATATAATATTTATTCATAAACTTGTGTTTATGTAATGGTCATTGACATTAAATGGAGTATTTGTGCGTATTTTTCCACTCCTTTGCAGATTGTATGTGAAATGATACATTTTGAATACTTCTGTTTGTCATTAAATTACAGAACTTTTGACATTTGCCTACTTTTGAAGTGAATTAGAGCTGATACATATACGTATATTTGAAAATATTCATTTTTATTTTGTTAAAAAAATTATTGAACGTATTAATTAATATTTTTGAACTCAGCATCATCATATTAGGTAATATTAGGACTTTATTGGTAATCAGCAGATTTTTTCAAGGTATAGTCCTGTTATTGTCCAAACCAGCCTTCATTGAGTCAATTTAGAAAAGGTAAAATTCTTAAAGAACTTAAATTAGTGAGAAATAGATGGAATTGAGAAACTTTATTATTTTAGCTTTATTATTTATTAATAAGATACTCAAAACATGCTTCTCTACATTGTTCTAAAGGTGTTGACTGATGCATAAGTAAAAATTGACCTGCATTTTTTTTTCTCTTACAGCATAACACAAGTGACCCATACGACCTTTCCAATGATGAGGATGATCATCAAGGCAAAGATGGGAACAAGTCCTACAGGTGCCTATTATTGCTTAAGAATTTAAACAGAATTATTGAAATAAATAGCCATTTTCTTTCATATTTGCTATTTTCTTAAGTTTTGTTGGTTATTTAATGGTTTTAATTTAACATTTGATCATGAGACTTGATCAATTTTAGTGTGTATTAAGCACTGAAACAAACACACTGACCCTATTTGAAAGTGTAGTAGTGGTTTTATTTGAACTTTTAAGTCTAATCGCATGACATTTCTGCCACCTTACAAAAATATTGCTTTATTTTCCCTCAGCTTGTAAGGTAGCGTCTATAAAGATGATAAATGTGATGCAAATGGAATTCATGAGCTACATTGTGATACATTTTTCAGTATATGTTCTCAAAAGTGTCAAGGCCATTTTAGTGTTTTTAAAGATGATAATTTTGGGAGTATTTCGAATGCAAACGCACATGCTGATTTTTCTCTGTAGGTGCCGGATGTGTGCAGTGACGTTTTTCAACAAATCAGACATGCAGATTCATGCCAAGTCACACACGGAGGCGAAGCCACACAAGTGTCCTCACTGCTCCAAATCCTTCGCCAACTCCAGCTATCTGGCGCAGCACATCCGCATCCACAGCGGCGCCAAACCCTACACCTGTTCCTACTGCCAGAAAACCTTCAGACAGCTCAGCCACCTACAGCAGCATACACGGTACATATGTGTGTGTGTGTGTGTGTGTGTGACTTACTAAAGGATGCACTACTACACCTGCTACAGGAAGGAGCCAGATCTTGCCAGGGATTTGTGTTTTGGTTATTTAGGGATTTTGGTTAGAATAAGCATGTCTATCTTTCACTTTTTCCATTCTCTCTTTCTCTTGATACCTCCCTGTCTTTCCCACCCTGATGCGGTGACGTTTGAGCTTATACACACTTCTAGTGATAAACTGGACAATATATTCCCTGCTGATAGAAGCAGGTGTTTTTTTTTCACATGCTAATCTCATTGCTGATCCGTCTTATTTCACACCACAATGTCTAAATGTCTTTTGTTTAATTTAATTATTTTGGTGCCCTTTAGGTTTGTCAATGTCCTGTCGGCATTTCTGTTGCCACCATATTTTTGCAAAGCATTTATTTAATGTTAAATCTGATTTCTCTTGTGGACTGCGTGAAATATTGTTTTTCCAATTACTCAATCTACATTTTACTCTTAAAATCCCAAGATCAATCTTTTACTCTGTGCATGTGCTTAGTGTGGGCAGCTGTGTTGATTTTGAATAGATAAAAAATTTTCTTTTAAAATATTGCTACTTTTCTACATGAAATTTTTTGATTTATACATATAAATATGTTTTATAGACACATGCAAAGCTTTTCTATACTCTTTTATGGGCGTTTTCAGGAGTTTACAATTTTACAATAATTTTGCACGTAGTTATAATAACAGTTTTACACAAGAAAATTTTATTTAACTTCAGTTGATATGCATAAATAGCAATTGAAATGCATAATGTATAAAATCATATATAACATCATATATCATATTTATTTAATATATATCATATTAGGGGTGGGCATTATGACCAAAATCTTATATCACGATATGAGTAATTTTATTTCACGTTAACGATAAATATATCACAATATAGCCTAGTTATTTTTGCTTTAAATAAGGTCTTTATGATATCCACATTTTTGATACCATAGAAATTTCATAATTCTTGTCACCAGTGTCAATATCACAAAAAAATTATACTAGGTTAAAAAAAAAAAAACTCACGCTCATGGAAGACAAGTAAACAGTCAGCATTTAAATAAGAATAAGAAACTAATTACAGCCAATAGGACAAAAAACTACAGTAGAACAAATAAATAAGAAATGCTACATACATTGTATAAAGTAATTATAAAGTAATGTATAAAAACACTGCATATTCTTAACTGTGTAAATTAAATATATATTTCTTCTTATTAAACTTACAAATTGATTTAGTCAAGAGCAGTGAGAGATCTTATCTTTTTTGTTGTTTGATTAACATGAATGGCAGTCAGCAAGAAAATTAGGAATATTATTATCAGGAATATTATCAAATCACAAAATCCTACTGACCTTAATGTATATCGATCACTCCTCTCTTCATTCTCTGCTAATGTCTCCACTGCTAAAAGGACATACTATCACAACAAAATTAACAATTTGCCTAACTCTCGCATGCTCTTTAAAACATTTTCCTCCCTCCTTTGTCCTCCTCCTCCCCCTCCTTCATCAACTCTAACAGCTGACGACTTTACCACATTCTTCATTAATAAAATTACAAACCCCAGTGCACAATTTGCCACACCACAAACTGCCAAACACATCTTACCTGAAAACATACACTCGTTTTCATCCTTCTCGCCACTCTCTGAGGCAGAAGTCTCTAAACTCATCCTTTCCAATCATACTACTACTTGTCCGCTTGATCCTATTCCATCTAATCTCCTTCAAGTCATTTTCCTGCCGATGTACCTGCACTCACTCACATCATTAACACATCCCTTCACACTGGTGTTTTTCCCTCAACATTTAAACAGGCTCGTATAACCCCACTTCTTAAGAAACCCACTCTTAACCCAACTCTTTTAGAAAACTACAGACCGGTTTCCCTTCTACCTTTCATTGCAAAAACACTATATATAAAATCCTTGCTACATGTACTGCGTTAGGCTAACCGAGACTTGTCATTTGCACTTACATATTGTTGCTCTTTTGTTAGTTTTGATTGCTTCTATTGTCCTCATTTGTAAGTCGCTTTGGATAAAAGCGTCTGCTAAATGACTAAATGTAAATGTATTAGACTGCTGTCACTTTAAGAGCTGCCCAGATCCAATATACCGTTACACGTGTGTTTTCTTTCTCAGCTGTTTGCTTTCACTTAAGACATAAATTACTGTGTTTATGAGGATACTTGCAAAGACGGGCATTTTGACACATACAAGAGTGTATTTAACCGTTCAAGGCCTATAAAGCGGCAAAAATAACTCAATACTTTAATAAGTTCAATACTCCCGCACTCTAAGCGCCGTCTTCACGTGCTCTTCCTCTCAGACAGCGCTCATGAACAGTCTCTCAATCAGCACGCACATATAGCGAAATGAGTTATCTTTTGCTGCTGATTGAGTTTCAGCAGCTTAAAATCACTTGGTTTTTAAACCACAATGCTTAAAAATGCATGCAAACAATAAGTTTTCGTGACCACGTAGCAAAGCAACGTCACGTGAGCGTGTAACCGCGATAGAGACGATAGTCCAAAATCTCTACCGGTTGACAAATTTCTACCGGTTTAATCGTGTCTACCAGTATATCGCCCACCCCTATATCATATATATATTTATATAAAACATAAAAACTATATATGCACGTAGGGGTGTGCGATATTGTCAAAAAATAATATCTCGATATTTTCTGGGATTTTATCGATGACGATAATTAGACGATATTTTGCTGAGTGTGTTGTTGTGCTGGTACCTTAAGGACTGCCGAAGACAGCTGACTCATAATGTTTTTAATATTCTTCATATTCTGTGTGGTGGTCAGTTCATACTGATAGAAATTAATCTTTTCCAATAAGTTTAAACAGATTTTTACATTTTATGGGCATTTTTACCTTTATAAAGCCATTTTTTCTAGAAGTGTCCATTATCTTTTGAGTCAAATTCTTACATTTAATCAGGGAATTAGAATAAGACATTTGGGCTGTTACCAAGCAAATTAAATCAACACAGAAGCTGCATCTGAAGTGGCATTTAGATGTATTTACACACATGTATTTTGTTTAATGCAAGACATGAATGCATTTAACCTGCAATTACAAATGCATAAATAATGTTTTGATATATTAAACATAAAACGTTGAATACTGATATTTGAAATGATTTAAAACATGAAAAAAAGAAGAAAAAAAAGAAAGAAAAAGCCGAAATTTGAAATTAAAACCGCCAGCAGGTGGCAGCAAATCACTGTTAATAAGTGAGTCTTTGCGATTGAACAGAATAATTTAACGGTTGATTAATTCAGGAACCAAACACCATCATGTTGCTCAGAGACGCAAAACAGTGCTGTGGCTGTTTGGAATGATTTTTGTTGGCGAAATAGAGCAAAAACAAGCAATATGGTGTCTAAAACGTAAGTCTCTTAATTAACTTATTGTTTATTGAATTCAATGTCACATTTGTAATCATGGTAATTTTTGGAGAAAAACAGCACTCTTCGTGTGAAATTTAATTATATATGAATATATGAAGTGGTATAAATATATAAATTTTCTGCCATCATGTCTTGAATTTGTGATCATTCTAAATGCATTTTAATAGACTGAATCATGCAGTGAAAGAAAACACACTAAATGCGCACACGCACTAGTCTAGACTTCACGTAATGTATGCGTGCGATCTGTAGGGATGTTTTGAATGGTTTTTGCAAAATACTCGATAATGTCAAATCGCACATCGTTAAAACAACAATTACGATATCGCAGACGATATATATCGCACACCCCTAAATAGGCCTATACCCTAAATAAGGATAAATTATATTGGAACGCATCTCCAAAATAATCGCATACACAGATGCACGTTGCCATTACAGTAGTCAGCGCCAAACAGCAGACAAATAAAATATAAAATGAGGTTACAAAAGTGATTCAGTCAACATCAGTGAGGGATTTTCTTTTCTTTCGTTCTTTAAATTAACATTAATGACTGGCGGCAGCGGCTGCTGTCAATGCACGGATCCAATACACCCTTGTTTTCTTTCTCAAC